TCTCTCTCTCTTTCTTGTCAATATTATTGTCACGCTTGTTTGGTTGTACGATTGTACACGTAACTCCATTTAGAACTCCATCCATCGGAATTCAATTTATGGACATCTCCAATTCGAACCGATAAAATGAACTTCCGGATTACGCTGTTATACAAAACTAAACTTAGTCTCCGAGAATGCAAAGATTGAAATAACGAAGCCGCAAATATCCCGTATCTCGTGAAATAAAAGATTTTTTAAATATATTAAATATATTAATATAATATATCATGAATTAACAATATAATTGTATAAACGGCAAGTATTTCAATAATTTACTTTGAGATACATAAACGCTATTATTTCGCTTCACTTTTACTCGTTAAACGCTCTGTAAGTTTATGAAGTTTAATTTTACATTAAAAACTGGCAAATTGAATCAGCGAAAGTCGGGTGAATAGAATTGAACTTTTAAAGCGTAGGAAATTGCAAATTTCTATTTTAATTTATTTCTCTTCTGGTAGACGGGAAAATACAGAAGGAAGGAGGAGCTCGCGATATAGACGGAAATGAAATATGCTGAAGAGATGGTTGGCCGTGGAATATGCGTGCAGAAAACAGGAAGAATTTATAACGGCTCTCTCGTGCTTGTATTTATCGACAAAGTTCCGTCGTTAACAAGACATCACAATCAAGTTTAATGAACAAAAAGAATGAATAGACAGAAGGTCATAAAATCGTTTAAAAGTGAAAATTCGCCAATACTAAACTTTTAAAAATAAAAAAAAGATATAATAATCGTAAATATATCAAATCTGAAATTCAGTGAAGGCTTTATATTCTTTTTTATCATTTTTTATATCATTATAACGTAACACGTAATATACTGTTTTATACAAAACGTTATTATATACGTTTTATATTTTTATACATATTACCCTGTATCCTTTTACAATTTATGCTCTTGAAAAATATGTGTGAAAAACAAGATGGAATAATATCCATGTACAATGTGCTGACTAGTTGTCGCATATCTTTTTGTGATAAATGGACAAAATAAATTCACCTTCCTCCTAGCTCCGTTGACACGTCATGAATCAAATTTCTACTAATGATGAAATCGTACGCTTCTCGGACACGCTTGCGGAAGTCGAGCATTGTCGTCCCTCGTTAAAGCAGCTAGCGTTCTTATATGGCTCCATACGTCGTGTGTAGATAATGTTCTCGTCTCGTAATCTGCAATACTATTTAACCGATTAACGTGAATAGGTTTATATTTGTCTTTCGAGTAAATTTCCAGAAGTAAATCTCATACGAAATTATTATTATAATATTAAATTAGTCTTATTTAAGCAACTATACGCGTATATAATAAAGAATGCTAAAAATTATGATTTTCAATTGACAATTGCGCAAAACTTCTATCTACGAGATACTTATATACATTAAAAATATGCTATTTTTACTATCTAAGTAATATTAAAAAAAATTGATCTATCAAATAAATTTTTGCGAGTAAATCCCGTAAGTGATGATTACATTACATTAGTCTTATTTAAGTAACTATATGCGTATAATTAGAGCGCTCAAAGAATTATGGTTTTTAAATGG